GCAAACAAACTAAAAACATAATACTTAGGTCTTGTAATATATTATTGTTGTTGTTGCGACGCCACGCAATAATTGTTCTGGGAAAAAGAAATACTTTGTAGTACTCCCGAGTATTGAATTTTTTTTCAAAGTTCCCCCCCCTCCCGTAAAAGTTATTATTTAGTTTGTTTTTTTAAGTGATCGAAACGTTAATGTTGTTGATAAGCATTTATGTGCTATATTTATATGTCAATGGCAGAATGGTCGGTGCAGTCGTAGAAGACCGTTAATTAAATCCTCAGTCACGTTTTCCCCACCCTTGAGCTGTATATATTGTAATTTATGATACTTATAGATGAGTAACACATTTCGAGTGGATTTTGTGAAAAATGAACGATTAAAAACATATAATAACGCCCGGAGGTATATAATATATTTGAATGAGCAAAAGCGGGGATTGAGGAAGGGGAGAAATGATGAGGGCATTGGTTGTAATTCGTTTTTGCATTTTTACTACGTGTGATGTGGAATAATGACTGTCCCGTATTTTTCCCGTCCACAGCGACAGTAAAATTAAATAATGGTTGCCGGTTTCGTGGTATTTCTTCCCCCCTCGTTACCGCAGTTATGTGTAAAATGATTTTATTATTATATATTTTTATACATATTTTTTTTTAAATATTAATCTGCATAAAATTACGTTATTATGTTTTCTATGGCTTTTCTCTTCTGGGCCATTGTCGTGTTCGCTCAGATGGTCGCACAAGATCTCAACCAATACGCTGAACCCGAATGCACTGCATTATATCGTATTCACGATAGAGTTAAATAATTGAAAACGACAATAAACCGAAACAATCAAATAATATTTAATAACAAATGGGTTTGCGTTATAAACCGATTAAACTGAACACAGAATGTAATCATAATCTGGAAAACCCGTCGGATTTTTGTGTAAAAAAAAGAGGGGAAAGAAAATCCCCCATCAAATACATATTAACGTAACAAAATAAAAACCACATTTTTAAAAATCAATCATAACGCGAATAAGGGTTATTCCAAGTTGCACGTACCAAATATTTTTATTTTTTTTTTTTTGTAAATAATGAAAATTTGTTATGTATTATATAAATAAAAAGTTATTAGTCTTTTGATTGGGTTTTAAATAAATACGCACACATGAAATACATTTTCTCAAAACATTAATTACCAATTAATAATTATATCAACACTGTGTGCAATTTAAGACTATACAAATATTTCTCTTTTTTTATGACATCTATTTTTAAATAATAATAACTCGCATAAATAATTTTCTTTAAATTATGTCTTCTATCTACTATTATTGCATATTAGGTATTACCTATCTAATAACTAACTCTAACATAATCGATATTTAAATGAGCCTAAATTGTAAAATATAATTTCTAAATAGTTTACCCCGACCCTTATGTAATATTATGAAAGTATTTTGAACTTGAACTAAAGCGTAGTATTATGTAGAAAACCCAAATTATAATTTATAACTACATATTTTTGGAGCCGTATGAACCATAAATACTACAATCACTTCACTCAGTAATGATATTGTATGGTGCTAGTTTGTTAGACAAACTTAAAGCCAAGTTTCAGATTTATTCATTAAGTTTGAAAGGTGGTTTAACATTTGCACTTAAGCACAATACTGTTAACAAATACATAATATCTAACCGAAAACTAAAATGAGTAAAACTTTATAGACTAACTTTATATAATAGTGTTACAATAAATTACCTATAAAAAAGTTCAATTAATTTTATACTTTACTTTATTTAGAAGAATGGTAAACTCAGTTCTTAAGGACGATCACATAGTCACGAAAGTATCTCTATTAGGTGAAGTAATTGAAGTCTAGACCATACGAGTATAGTTTATAATCATAATAATATAATGATATAAATTAATTTATACTCTTTGTATTAAAACTTAGTATTTGCCAAATAAACACATTATATCTTATGTGACTTGTTATTTAACAAAAATAATTTATGTAGTAATAAAAAAAACAATTTATTAAGTATACAAAGCGTTATACATTTTTTTTTTAATTTATAAAATAACAATTTAATTTTTGAATACACAAAATTATAATACATTCGTTGACGTTCCAACAGTATTGTAAAAATATATTGAAGTGCATTAATACTTTAAAAAATAAAACTAATTTATCCATTGTTTTAAAAGAGCACGAGTGAAGGAAGGTCTCGCTCATCCGTTTATATGTTCAATTATTTCAAATTTAGTTTTGTTAATCAAATGAACAGTGTTTTGGTAAATAGGAAGTTACAAAAGTGCTAACGTGCTAAAAGTGGTATGTGTCGTTGCATACAAAGTAAACCACGTGTATTTGTAATTCTAGCATTACGCTGAATTTCATAGAAGTTCATATGTAACTAAGAATTTTAAGAGTTGTCGTACAAAATTTACAAATGCCAATTTATTCGATGCTATCGTTATTTACAACATTTAAGTGCGTGTTACTACAGAAATAATATTTTGTCAACCGCAGTTTCAACAGTACACGAATGTATCGAAATTGCCTACACTTTGCGCCGGTAAATGAACGGATGGAGGAATGAACTAATGAACGTCACGATTTATAATAGCTTAATAAAGTACTCGATTGTGAGTGTATATATATACAGAAAGTGTATATATTAAATAAACCCGCGGTCTTGGCAATATCATAACGAAGTACGCTCTTCCGTTTTTCCTTATCAGACACCACGATCTCTAAAATCCTCGGGTTGGAAGCCAAGAAAAAAAAACAGAGACAAAGAGTCTCGCCGGCAAAAAAATGTAGTCATTTAACATATAGCCAACTAGCAAGCAAACAAAAGAGAAAAAAATATTAAAAATAAGACAAATTAACGTGCAACCGTAAAACGAGAAAATTATATAACTATGTACTTGTAACGTTTTTTTCTGTTTTTACACTACAGCGTAATAAAAAAAAAAAAAAAAACTACAGCGTAATGACTTGCATAAACGCACTGTCGTTAAGAACAGTTGCCAACTGCATTAGACTTCTTAGCTAAATAGTGCTTTAAGAAATGTTATTGTCTCGACAGTAATTATAGTTGTCGGTTATGGTTTGAAGGCGGCGGTACCGACATTTCCGACTGTTTAAGTAATCTAATTTTCTTCTGTTTGGCTTCTGTACGCCAAATGGTCTCGTGCGATATTATTTGATTACCATCGAATGTAAATCACGTGCTTGACTTTTATGATATTGCTTTTCACGTTTGCACAGAGCGTTTTGACGAGCAAAATAAAATAATCGTTTATTGTTACTGCACGGTGAATCTACACCGAGACATTCTCCACAAACACATAAAAAGAGTAAACTTTATAATGTGATGGTAATACATTAAAACGATTATTGTATTATCATTATAATTCATCGATTGAACAGTATACAAAATATTGTAAATGTAACTAATAATATGATATATTTGAATGAAACGTGTAGCTAATGGTCATAAAACATATTTAAGTCTATGGTTAAGTATTGACAAATCGTTTTCAAAAATGAATTTGATCAAAACGAAAAAAGTAAATTGTAATAATAATTTTGTAATTTGCTTGAAAAAAATACTGAAATTTAAAGAAAAACCTCACGGAAGTTTGGTGCTCGAAATACATTTCGAGCACTGAAATTTTTCTGTCTAGAGCATTTGAATCGCTTCATGCAAAATAGACGGAAGTCTTTTTTGGAGAAAATGTGATTATTACATATTCTTTATTACCGTTCAATTTAGTACACGATACATCGATCCGTGTTAAAGCGTCTTTAGTCCCAATACTAGAACCTACTGATAACATACATCTAAAATGTAAAGTAAAATGTACCAATACTACATATTTTGTGATACAGAAATTCTAGTTTTATTTCTTAAAGCCATAAGCTAAGCAATTTTAAGTATATTATATACATGCAATTATTAATTTTTCTGTTGTGTTATGTTTTAGATTCGGACAACCGTAGACTGTGCCATGTTTTGAGAAACATATTAAAGCGGACGTGAGTCGCGAACTGCGGGATCTCTATTTTGGTTTTACTTATTAGTTGTCTCGTAAATGAAATATTGTTGCTCTCCGTATTCACATGAGCGACGGTGGTAAAGGTGCAAGCATACGGGGACGGGGGATCAAATTGTCTATTTACCTAACCAACCAAATGCATGACACGGACTTTGAATACTTTCAAGCGCGACATATTATTCAGAAGGCGACAACATCAGCGGTAGCGGTTTATCTATCAGTAGAAGTGAGAGCTCAACCCGTTGTAAGGTGGTTTTGTGTGCCGTAAAGCACGTTTGACCCTCATAAATATTTTGATGACGACCGTCAAGAGATTTTCTCAAACGCCCGCGGTTACTGAGACCTTCCGCTCTGTATAAATCGTCGCGATATTCTCACGTGTTATATATATATATTTGTATATATACGTATGAGCATTACACACACACATACATAGAGAAAAAGAGAGAGAGAGAGATATAAACTATAGATATGCACGGTGAAATCATGTGTACGTGACGCACGGTAGTAATAACGAAGAATCCGTCGCCAAACCTCCGTCTCAGATGTAAACAGACAGAAACGAATCGCCGGCGGAGAAGCTATTTAAGGAAAAACATTTAATGGCTTATATGATAAGACGGCGGCACATTTACTGCGGTTCATCATTTTGTCATGGTAATAAGCGATAAACGATTAAAAAATTAAAAAGCCATTGTGCATAATATAACATTGAATATTTGTAGATACATTACTTAAGTTATTCACCTGGCTCTTAGTGTATATTATTTACATCACTGCCAATGATTGGGTTGTACATTTTTAAATTGATAATATAGAAAACCTTTAGGTAATTTATGGGCATGCTACAGCCACGGTTTCTAATATGGCTAATGATAGTAAGCCAAGGACAAAAGTGATAAAAGCAAAATCAATTTAATTACATTTTTAAAACTTACTTGGTAAAATTATGAACTAGCGATTGACGATGTCGACTTCATAATTAAAATTTTGCAGTAAATCACAAACACCATTAAATAATATGATTTTCTTTCACTAGTGGCCTATTTGAGACGTTTTTGCTGTTGCCACTAACATATTAGAATTCAGCTGCTTTCTATCATGACTTAATAATTACACAATACAATTTAATTATAAACGCCTCTTTTACGTTGGCTCAAATGGAAAAAATTAGCTGCGCTAACGTATAATAACTTTAAAAAATATTATCTAACCGCTTAAAATATTACAACCGATGCTATACGACAGCATCGTCGCTAAGTGCCTACTCAATAATTCAAGATAACACGTGTTTTAAAGATTATCTGGCTAACCGCAAAATATGCGACTAACACCGTCGGTTTGCAAAAATTCAACATAAGTAAGCAGATGGTCGATTCATAAATATAATGGTTGAACTAACAGTATAACAAACTTACAAACTTTAAACAAATTAGCTTATACAATTTAATATAATGTAAAACAAAAAAGAATTTTTTAATTTTTTTTTTAAAACCACTTTTATTTTGTCATCAACAGCGGCATTACCTATGTAGTTATTATAAAGCTAATAATACGTATATATATACCTTGTCGTCGGCTAATAATCATCGTTAATGATCTTTATACTAATAAAAAAAAAATGTTCCGTATAACTCTGTCGGTCGACCATGGCAATGTTAACGACCAATTATAGTAAAAGACCTTTGCGTTTCAACGAGTCTGGTTCGTAAAGTACTTAAGTTTCAGACAACGCATAATACTAATATAGTACATAATGAGTAGATCCTCAGCAAAAGGGTACATAATAAGATGGCCTAATATCCACTCACACTGCACAGCCCATTCGCTTTTCAATTAATTTCTTTACATACGCATAAAATTCATAAAATAAGAGAAAAAAGAATTTTTACAGAAAAAAACTTTAAATTAAAATTAAAAAAAATGTTTTTATTAACGTTATTCACTTTGTTGTACTAATTTTTGTTTCTAGAAATATTTTTTTTTAGGTTTAAATAATTTATTATCGTAATAGTATCACATTTATAGACACCAAAATTTGCTAGTGCTTAGGGAACCCGCAAGCCTTAATCTGTATATTAATAATTAATGTATTGGACTATACTTATTATTATCCTACACTATCTAATGGCTATTATATTAAAATATTAATAAGAGTATATAAATAATTTCTTGTAAAGGACTTTATGGATCTCCATAAAACTTAAATATATTAAACTGAAATTTTGACAAAAAATTCTTTAACAATATTTCTTTATCAGCTCATATTTATTGTACATTAGCTAAAACGAAATTAATTCTAAAATTATAATTAGAAAAAAAACATTTTTACTTACATAACTACTTAATACGTCAACCGTTTTAAACGCTTTAATAGTTTAATGTATGATACAGTTACGTTATAATTATTGCATTAAGACATAACATGTCTTATACGATTAACTATAGCCTTGTCATAGATTAAACCTATACATAGATAGTCCATGCAATATATTTGTTTGGCAACCTGGTACATAACGAATGCAGGGTTAATATAATATAGTTTCAAAACAAATATCTACTTAACATATGGTCACAGTTAATAAAGTAGAAATATAAGTGGTAATATTTTTTTTTAGACGTACTTATTTAATTAATATTCCATCTAAATAATGGTAAAATATATAATCAATAAATTACCTAGCGAACTGTGTTATCTAGTAATAATATATGCACTATAGCTCTAAAGAAAATTAGGTAGTAAACGATATTTAACTCGACAGTAATAACTATCCACAGGGTCGAGTAGCCCTATTAATTAAACCTTAATGAACTGATTATAGAATAACGAATTGATTGATGCATGTAAAGCTGTACTCTCCCTATTTATAATTATGGTATTAGTTTAAAAAGAGTTTTATTCACTAAATTATTAAGAACGCAATAACACTCATATTTAAGAGAATAATTTGTTACCAAATTACTATGATTATTGGTAATGTCATGTATGATTATTGGTAATGTCATGTTTTCCCTAGCTAAGAGCTTATAGTAATTACAATGTCTAATAAGTACAAAAACGAGCGTGGTAGCCAGTGCAAGTATCGTTATAATAATTATTCAACTAATTAACTACTACTACTTAATGAGACGTTTAAGAGTAAAAATGGGCGATTAGATCAGCGCAATTAGAGGAAAATTAAAAATTGCTACCATCGTCGGAAACGTCGAATAATTGAGTTTATAAAGAAAAAAAGTTTAAGTTAAGACATAGTATCAGTTTTTCGGCGAAATAAATAAATCAAGAGAATCATCCGAATTGTCGAGAATAACAGAAACCTCTCGGAGGTCCCGAGGGCCGAGAAGTCAATCGGCAAAGGGCCGCAAAAACGATAATACTGTTATTAGATTTCAATTGGACATCGTAAACGCGTCGGCCATACATTATATTGGCATCCGCGGAATGTGTATAAATAAAATATGCACGCGTGCATATATTTCACCAGCGGGAAATGCTTTTTCCGAGGAAATAAATATTTGAGACGTCCAAAGAGTATCGGAAAAACCGACGGGGTCGGATCAACGCTAATAGTCGACTGCGGTATATCCTTGGCAGGAACGTGGAAAATTTTCGAGCAACCGGGTCGGTAAATAATATGTATGAAATATTCAACCAAACACAAGGTAGGGCCCCCGTAGTATCTACACACTGAAAAACGTTACCACAGTAAAAATAAAAATAAACATTGTGCCATCGTCAAGCGGCGTAACCGTTTTCCGCATTCGTGTAACGACACTCCTGCGGGATTATCGATAACGGACGTGAAGTTATTACTGCATTGCGCATCCGCTTTTAACGCTATCGAGTTTGGATAGAGGCGTTTGTTGTACGTCGGGTTCCTTCGTCACAGTTCTCTTAACCCAGGCCACATAACCCCTTGAGATCCGGAAACAGTCGCAGAACAGATTATGGATTTGCCGTTTAAAATGTTTGTCAGTCAAAGCAGAGGCAAACGGCTGGCCAGCGTCTCGTGGAAATGGTCACGACCGGCGGTGACGAGGTTCCGGAAATATCATTCCGAAAAAGGTTTCATTGTATCTGATTCAATAACCGGAAACGGTACATTCAATATTGTTCACTCCAATTACATTGGGAAAACAAAACTTTAATACCTACTATGCTATTCCGGCGTATTGTGTAGTTTAACAAAACAAACCGACAGGCTAACCGAGAGTACGTCAGCTGTACTTTAAAAATATGTCTGTCTGCTGCAGCAGTGATAGTTTTCTCAGATTCTAATAATTAACAAAAAGACGTTACTATTACAATCGGATGGATTTTCGTAAAGTTTCAAGTACTAGTATTGTTAATATTATATAACGCCGTACAGGAAATCGTTTAAAACTTTTTGAACGACATACACCGGGTGTAACACACGCAGGACTTTACTCTGAAGAAAACATTATAATCAAAATAATTAATTGAAATTTTAATTGGACATTTCTTTTGAGAATAAGACTTCCAATGGCGCGTTTAACATTTTTAATACTACATAGCTTGGAAAACGTTTTGACCATTATATTCAAAAAACCATAATAGGATTTAATGACCTACTTAATTAAGGCTACTAAACTAAGTAAAGTCAATCAAGTTCATCATTTCAAGGTATTATAATTATATTTAAAAAAATTGAATATACTGCGTGATAAATTAAAATGCAAAATTCGAATATAATTATTTTTTTAATTAACTTAATAAGGCACATAAACATAACGGTTAATAAAGCCTGCACCTTTACATCGTATACGATTTTCAATTTTGGTATGGTTCTTCTAAACGACTTTTTTTTTTTAAGTCATTCATAACCTTCCTTTTTACTAGGTATCTTAAAATAATAACTATACTTCAGCATATTTTAACAGTAGACCATTTAAAAAATACTACGAGAGATTAACGTAGTGTAATGGACGCATCACTATAGACTATCGTGGCATGATATTGCTGGTAAAAACTAAATAGTTTTAAGTTGCATTAACTCAAATCTTATAAAAATATTTAAATATACATATGATTTGATAAAACAAATCACGGTATTATTAAATATAAATTTCACAACTTACTCTTATGTATTTTGACTGTTTAATAAAATAATTTTCATTTCACCTTGTACGTATAAATATTATTGGTTTTAATAAAATATATTTTGAGTAAACATTTTATTGAATTATAATTTGCGTAAATGACTTAGTTCAACTTTATACTTGTCATTCAAATACATATTTTCTTAGTAAAATATTTAACGGGATTTCGTATTTTGTAAGTGACTGACACATCTCAAACGGCTTTAACAGAAATGAATTCGCGTTTAACTAAAATATCAGTTAATGTTATATTTAGCTGCTTCGTTAATTTAAACAACACGTCTTTAACTATATATAAATTATAATATCTGAAAAATTCCAGTGACTTTGCCACCAATAAATGTAAAGTTACAAAATATTATAATTCAAGTAAAGATTATCAAATATAGTAACTAAACAACGATGGATATTTTAACTATAATAATTTTGGAATAATATCATAAATATTCATATAGATACTATTTAGTAAAAATTATAACGAAATATTTTTATAAATTAGTTTACGTTTATGCATAAAAACCTTCTTCAGACTCGAGTATAGGCGAAACTGTTCCTGAAACAACATTCATAGTTTTACTCATAAAAATATTAAAATATTAAAATGTTATTAATAACTACATAGTAAGACATAATATTAATAAACATTATTCGGTTGCATTAAAATATAAAAAACCCAACCAAAGGATTAGGGAAGGGCGTTCCTAGGGAAGACCTCCCCCCCCCCACGAATATGCCATTGTTACTAATTCCTTATTATCGTTTCGGTCAAGATATAGTGTTACCTACTGTCTAGATAACCGTTGCAAAGATAGGCAAACAGAGCAGTAAGCTCAGTAATTTCACATTTTTTTTATTTGATCTTTGTGTTTAATTGTTATTTGTAAAATATTATTATAATACCGCCCTGCTTCTGGTAAACATACTTTATTGTGATATTGTTTGTTCACGTCGGTCATTATTAACGATCTCGAACAAAGTTATCTCGCCCCCCAGCGATTTGCCATTTATAATGCATTCACTGTAGGTTTTCCAATCATCGTTAGCCGCCCCCATTCGTAAACTGTCTTATTTAATTTACACCAAAATCTTGTGGTACAGTTGCACATTTCATGATTTCCTTCCATTCACATTTCCGTACCTACATAATTATTTACCTTCCATACACACAACGTCATTACCATCGACGTCGGCCTTTGTGCCGGCTTGAGAATTGCGAATATATTTGAAGTACTAATAACATCTCTACCGCTCCTATACGCTTTTTACTTTTCCCGTAAAATAATAACAATGTCAACATCAGTTACACGTTTTAGCGGTACCGAAATTCTGCGCACGGCTTACCTCTAGAATTTTCCCTTATCGGTTTCGACACGGATTCATGATCCACGGAGATGACACGCTTTATGAAATTATCGATTACTTTCTTAAGGCTGGTCGCCAAGTAAGCCGGATTGTCGTTTTGAACGCCGTCCAAAGCCGGGACTTCGTCGCCCAACAAATGACTGAGTGACTGAAAAACCTTCTCCTCCCATTCCTGAAGACATATAATTCACACGTGAAACAATAATAGTTTTACATATCTGATGTTTGTATTTAATGAGCGATATTTTAAGCTTGAAGTTTTTTAAAGGGTTTTAGAATGCCAAGCCCCCCTGATCTCCGGCAATGGTCAAGGAGCGGGATACATTCTAGGACAAGCGCACTTTTTCGTAAAAGCAACATATATAATAACATTAACCTAGCGGAGTGCCGTCACTTACTAGATCTTCGGCGGAACAGGCCACGATCTCTTTGAACTGATCCAAAACACGGTCATTCTTGGAGCACAGGCCGAGCATGGATACCAAAAGTCTAGCCACGGATCTGACTTCGGAGCGTTTGGCTTTGACGTCCTACAGTAAAAGTTATTATTTCCTAGATAATCGAGCAAATCCCTCAACCGCATAACTCACCTGTCGCATGCCAACGACTTCGGCCATTTTCACCATAAGGGTTTCGTGCGCATCATCTATTAAAACGCTCAAGCCGGAAACGGATTCCTCGGTGTTCTCCTTGAGCTTATTGAAAATACACTTTTGAATGATTCTATATTGAGAGCACAGTGACGCGATTTCTTCCTATAGAAAACCCGGTGCTTACGAATTAGTTATAACCAACACAAATCATATTTTATCCAGGAATAAATTCTGCAAACAGTTGTGGCGTCGAACTGACTAACTTGTGGTGCATAAAATACTCAAATAAATAAGTAAAGTATATCATAAAGATCTGATAGATTAACATATATATATATTATTAGCAGTGCTGTCACACCAATGTGATACATTCTATAAATATATTATTTTAATTTAAACAAAAAATATAATAAAATCTTCAACCGATATCTAATTAACGGTCAACGTACGTAACTCTTTTTGCAAGATTTGACCAATTGACGAATAATGAAAATGTATACATAAAAAGGCGTAAGCAAACTTTGAAATTTCATTAAAAAAACAATTTAATCAAGTTTATTACCTGAATAAAACACAGTTTTTTTTTTAGATCAATGTGCTCTTCGATTAGCCGATAAAATGCCTCAACAGGCATTTCAGACGCATCACAACGAATTTTACACGTTTTATTTTTGTAATATTCTCTATGCCTAACAAAACATAGACATTCAACATTAGAAAACTTATTATATAATATTTTTGACAAACAAACTTACCTGAACAAAATTTCTTCAACAACAGGTGTTGAGTACACGAGACTAGACGAAAGTACTTCGTAGGTATTTTTTGACGACGACCTTATTACCCTGACGTACTTAGTGTAAGCGCCTGTGCAAAGACATAAATCCTTTTCAGAAGTAGATTCTCCAAAAAATTCTATGGAAAACCAACAATTTGTGTAATTTTTAATAATGAACATTAAAAAATGATAAAAGGTAAAAAATGCAAACACATAAAATCCAAATAATCATGACTAAGTACCATCAAAATAACAAACTTCGTAAACTCATCGATATTTGCTATTTCTTCCCTCACTTCAGTTAATCTGTTGATGCTAAGAGTTTCTTCTATTTTTCCGACAAAATAAGAACTTGCCAATCATAACTAGTAGAACACTATTAGACTATACTATCCGTAAAATATAATAAGTGAAATGGAGTATAGATAATGCACACAGTAATAATTTTAGTTTTCAACCTTAGATCGATATTAGTGGAACTGTACATTAATCAGCGTGTCCTTGCTATTTGTTTTTTGCACTCTGCAGACTGCATTAATATAATGATAAAAGTAATAATAATTGTGATATATATTTCACGTATTATTATTTATAACTTAGACACGTACTATGACGGTCGCAGCAAATGTAATTACTTTATCTCAGATACCTCATATTGTAATAAACTTTACGGTATTTCACTATGATATCAGATTGGAAAAATTGACTAAGGCCCGGGCGTTTATTTAAATAATTTTTAAACACGTACAAATACGTTTAGTATAATTTATGACTTACTCTAGTCGACGAACAATATTACTTCCGTGTTTATTACGTTATCTCAATTTAATTGCCTGTATATGCATTTTATTTTTTATTAAGAAAAATTAAATCTAAATGAACTGCATTAATTAAAGTAGTTAAGACAACTTTTCGTCTTAAGGACGGCGGAAATAAATATTCGCAAAGTCGATCATTATTGTCCGTTTGCCATGCAAATATAAAGTGTATATTATACACATGTAGCATTTAACCAAAATATTCTCTTCAAAGCAGTCAAAATGCATAAGTATTGTTGTATAAAATCCTCAATGTATTCGTGAGTATAAAACTATTATATTAATTATATGATTTATTTTTGTAATTACTTAACATTTTGTTTTTATGTGTTATGTCAATGATATAATATCACATGAATATAACAAAATCACCGTTAAGTAACCTTACTTTACCTTTAAACATAGTTTTCAAGGATACTGGACTTTCTTCCACAGAGAGCCGAACCGAACAATCGAGCTCCATTGAAGGAAAAGGACAGACGTCGTAAACCAAAGGCAATGGCAACCGAATGGTCTGTTGAACAGATCCCGGTACTTCATTGTCTCTGGAATAGTATACACATACAGTGAACTCAATTGAAGATGCGACAGAAGCAACATTGTTTTCGTCTCTGAAGACCTTCGTCCGAATAGTTGTGTTTTCCGCTGAATCGATAGAACAATTTTTTTTAATATTAAACTCACCATTAAAACTAGAAGGAAAACATAAAACCTAGTTTTAAAAAAAAATACACTCACTCAAGTCATTTAAATGTATTACTGATGGCGAGACCGTCAGAGGTGCAATTAAAAGAAATACAACTTGCACAGAATTAGTTGTCAATGACGGCAGCAAGTCCACTTCTATGTCACAACATTTCTGCTTACCCGTCACTGCAGCATGTACACCAATGGCCCGTGCTGTTAATTTTAACCGTGGCAAAGTGTCGGTCTCTAATATACAACAATACTAACTTAATGCTAAAATTATTTGAGTAAACAACAGTCGCTGAGTAAAGCATTATTACAAACATAAATATTGTTGATTCTCTGACACCACTTAATATCTTAGACTTATGAGTGGGGGCAGTAGGTAATAATTTAATATAAATACAAAATAATTAATTGATCACCGTCTTCTGTAGAAATATTCTGAAAATCTTCTTTCAATTGAGCTAGTTTTTTTTTCGTGTCCTTGAAAACACCGGCTGATTTCTCTGGAGGCATAAAAATCGCAGGTTCCGTACCCAAATAGCATAATCTCAAGTCGCCAAATTCTGATAGTAGCACCAAACACCCTTGTAATTCCTATTAGATTGAAATTAGTGGACTATAAATATATGACCACTTAACATTCATTTACTTTGGATGACGCCCTTGCTATAACACACGGTCGATAGGGCAACTTTGCAGACCACTTGAGTTTTATTTGTTCGTACACCATTACGGCATCGTTATCCGAGACTATCATGCACATCATCCTCGCTTCAGGGTGTTTACCTACAAAAATAAAATAATTAAGTTATTATTTCTGTTTTACTTTTCTTATACAAAATTCGAAAAAGATTGTACGAAAGGGATAAGGGTTGTCGATCGAGTGTGAATATAGAAGAGTACCAAAATAATAATAGTTATTTTTAAAAATGTAAATAGGATGCGAAGGGCTGATTACAATTTCCATAGATTTTACAGATAGTTTGTCGTATCCTCGTGTATGTGTTTTATAACATATCTACCTAAAACATACGGATAAAAACAACAAGGAGAGTATTGGAGTCTCTTTATGAACCAAAGTACTCCGTTTCCTTGAAAACAATAATAGTGTCGTTCGCCCAGCACATGAATCGTAGTAAATGAAGGTGTCATTGTCATAGTCTGAATATCGTATACAATCTCTCCCAAATTGCATGACCACGTTGGCCATTTTTGTTTCAAGTTTGGATCAGCTAACTCCTGATATCTATGGAAATTTAAATACATTTTGAATATATATTACTTAAATATATATTCTACTATATGGCTGATAGTGTCTTGACAGTTAAAAGAGACATTTACATCATTTTTAATGGATAGAGCTAAATGACAAATGTGTGAGGCCGAAATTTCAGGAAAGCGGGCGGATTATACAAAGATTTAACCAAATAATATATGTCCTTCCTTATGTGTTACATAAGTCTTTGTAATTCATTTGGTTTCTAGTTTCCATTCGTTTATTTAATGAGATTAGGAATGGCTTGAAACGTTGATAGTAAATTATAATTTAAGTACATATACAGATGCAATTTTATAATCAAAAGTATTTTTGCGTAAAGTAATAATTATTTTTAAATAACACCATCACATTTCTCAAAAGTATCAGTAGAATAAAATGCAATTTTTTCAATAACTTCGTAAAAATGAGCAGAGTTTCAGGCCATTATTTATTTCGGTTCCTAAAAGTTTTTTTCAAGGAACTGTACGTTATGAACTACGGAGAACCCCCGTGTTAACCATATAATACATGACTTTATTTACATTCGTATTCATGTTTAAAACATGTTACATTTTTTATTCAATTTAGCTTGAATAAAAAAAAAACGTTAATAAAAATCTTCAAAAAAAATATAACCACATTAATAGTGTCAGAAAAAATTAATTGTGGACATTAAATAAGTTAAATTAATTATTTTTTTGTTACAGTTAATTTGAAAACAAACTTATCATTTTAGTTTCTAAATCAGCTTAAATGTTTTATTTAGCTAATATCATTGATTATAAATAATATAGATAGCCAACTAGCCATTTACGAGCATCAAAAAATACATGCCAGTGGGCTATCTAGTATTTATATTATTTTTAATCAATGCTAATATTAACTATAAGTTTAACTAAGAATTATATTATAACTTAAAAACAATATTTTTTCCCCTGAACCTTACGAATTTATTTTAACATATTCTACAATTTAGTCTCTACCAATAGATTATTTTTTAAAACACATACCCCAATTGTTCTCAACAAAAAAAGTGACTTGTTTTAGTGACTTCAAAAAATAATAATAACCAAATGCTTAACGGGTTTCTATTTAATAATAGACTCACTTATAGCAGGCCAAACAGAGGTCGGAATTTAATGTGACGAACGCGTCTATCGATTGGACATATTTTATAGGAAACGGGTGTAGAAATAGGGGCAAATTTGTGCGAAACCCAATGGCTTGTTGTTCGTATACAAGCATTGTGCCGTCCAACGAAAGAATGCAAATGAAATCTCTTTTGCTTATACCGCCACCAAATGGTCCGATCACCATTTGATAGGCACTGCACTCGAATTTATGTTCATATATTGTTTCCATCACGTATTGGTCACCTAAACATAAACAAATTTACGAGCAATTTTATAATAATAAAATATTTAAAAAATACACTAATTACATATTTTTATAGAGAAAGAACATCATATAAAAAATAAAACTCATAGGAATATACAATATATTGTTTTTTATGTTTTTTCTATGGTCAATGTTGTGGAAACCATATATTTATAAACATAAAATATTTGAAACTGATTGTCTATGTTATTATAGTAGACAGTGATCCTTTGTCCTTAGCCAGTGAGCTTATGTCCGAAATTGAACGAATTGTATTGTAGTGTGACACTATAAGTCATAACTGTAGCCGCTAAGATATTTCTAGTTATCTAGTAAAAGTGAATTTTTACTGACAAATTCGCTAAAAATACGTACAATTTCTTATGTAATTATAATATGTTTAAATTTTAACAATAAAATTGTTTAAGACTTAAACAAAACATAAATATATAATTGAATATAATAATAATAAGAAGAATAATACCCCGATAATCGAAACAATATCTATATAAGGAGAAAAGGCGACGCGGAATATGTACTCAAATTTAAATTGTCTATTTTCCTAAGTTAATTTGTCAAAATGAACTTTTCCATAATATTTCCTTTAAGTATGCAAACCATACAGAATACGGCAAGACTATCAAGGACTTTTTAAAGTGCAATTTTTGAATGGTAAATAATCATAATTTAATTACATAATTGCAACGCTACGCTGATATATATTCTTAATATATAAAATAATTTATAACAATTTGTCCAATTATTTTATTTGTATTCTTTTAAAGTAAAATTTACCATGATCTGTAGAGCCAGATATTTGATTGATGCCACAAACGAGTACAGAGAATGGTCGTAGAACAGCAATATAATTTTTTTGAGAACAACTGAAACAAAAATTTAATATACTCGTCACTTCAACTCAAAAAATTTCTGAAATAACATAATAATAAATTTAATATCTAATTGTTTCCACATCTTTCCATCAGTTCCTAAAATCCTTATTTTTACATTAGGTATATATATATATATATATATATGTTCAGTCCCTATACTACAATAAATAAACCGCTTGAATGCTATACCACATTGTTCGAATGACTAGAACTTCGATGACTATAATGAGTAATGACACAAGTCTTGTGTACAGTCTAGGTCAACGGTCATCATTAATCGATCGGCTGTCTGATTCGAACAAAACCAACACTTTTTGTTTACTAGTACTTTCAATAGTGACCTATGATCGAGATTGCTATTGGCTATATACTAAAGCACTTCTATTTATCACTGCACACTACTACTTCATGTTTTCGTTAAAGTTTCGCTGGCTTTTGTGGTATCACTAAAGTCATGGGACTCAATTAAACGTATCGAAGTAATAAATAACGTATTGAAGTAATAAATATTAATAACAATAAACTTATATGTAATGCATTTAAATAATTTGAATCCAATTAAAAATGAGAAATGACAGCAGACAGACGTAGAATGGTTTAAACAAAGAAGGTCATTTAAAGATTGAATAAAAAACTAAATTAGCCAATTATTTTCAAAAGTAATTTTTTTACGTAATTGTATAAGGAAAAATTACTTTATAGTGCAAAGCCGGATGATTTTAATAATAAAAGATGTTGTATAGTTTTTAAAGAAATTGAGTGAGCTTATAGTGAGATTATAGTGAGCTTGAACAAATGTTGTTTGTGTATTCTTTAATAATAATAATTTAGGATTTACAAATATATTCTTATAAATATTCTTAAATGTTAAAAAGTTTTAACTTTTTTTTTTGTATATTATCACTTATTTAGAAATGCAAAGTCCTTTAAAGTAGATTTAATTGGGTTTTATATCAAACCCTACGATTTTATTATACCTGTCGTAAAGCACATTTTCCGGTTCTTAATAATATTATAATGCCATTAAAAGATATTAGAGCAGAAAGAATTGACCAGTAGATACTAAGAAATGTTTTAAGCCGATTACAGTGCTATAAAAATGACGAAATTCGTCTAAAAAAAGTATTTTGAAATATTTAAATATTTATTAAAATAGCTTATTTTTACGTGTACAACAGTGTTTTAATTATTTTTCTAATCTTTTTCCCGATCCAGTGGCGTACACAGGATTTTTAATGAGCAAGGAAGAGGGTAGTTAAGATAGGTTGAGCTTACCAATATCGTTTCTTTATTATACATTGTACATATAGTTTTAAAGAGTAAGATTTTCTGAACATTTTAGTTGATCGAAAACTAATTTTGAGTAAATAACTTTGGATTTATTTCTGTTGAGAAGTAGGTATAGTGATGGAAAGGGCTGCTCCTCTTTGGTACTAATTCAATAAAAAATTTCAAACTCCTAAAATAAATATCTTTACAGCGGCTCTTAACAAATATAAAAATATCGAGTAACGTAAAAAACTAAAATTTTGGACACTTTAAAAAAATAGTAAAGGAAAAAAAGTAGGTATGATGGGCAGTGAGGAGAAAAACCAATACTATAATATTTACATTATATACATTAAGATAATCTTTAGTGCCTATTATAACCCTATATATTTTTATTAACCTTATTATACCTCAGTATACTCGTTTTTAAATTACTAACACACTGTGTAATAAATAATAACACAGGCAATACGAGAAAGGTATTAGCTCACTCTCCCTTCGTACGCCACTGTTTATAGCTACAACTGTTTGTTATAATTTATTATAATTTACAACCTATTAACAAGACTAAAATTAAAATGTTGTCAAATCATAACTTTAGTAACTCGGCAGCATAATGATTGAAAATGATTGTTTATACCTACTAATTAACTTTATGTATATCTAAGCAATATAAAATGCATAAGGAAAACTACCAAATATTGCTCCATTCAATTATCTTTTAAATTAGATACCGACCTGACAAGCTTTCCGGTGCACACCTGTAAAATTGGACTGTCGGTCTGAACCTCGACCAACAGGTCAGATGGAGAAAAACAATTATTGACTTTCGATCGACACGACAGACCGCCATTGTATACTCGTAGCACACCATCCAGACTACCCAGAATAACGTTGTCTTGTTCTACTTCATGGTCTCCATTAGTGCATCCAAATAAATTGAACACCGTCAATGCATCACAACTAAAGGTTTCACCTTGCCCGCACACCGTCGACCAACAATCCCGTACTTTGAACAGTGACATCTGTAAATTAAACATATTTTTGCTTATAACTTATGTTTTGCGTAGTATACAGTCTTAGTAACTTAATCCATTGTGTGCGGTTATTGAAATTTGTTTAAATACTTAATATAACTTCTGTTATAAAACCATTAAGTAAAGAACAATAATTTACTCCAATACGAAAATTCTAGTAGAGTGTAACTGATAATAGTGACTGTTTTATATACTTTACTACACTTAAAAATAATTTTGGTAACATTTTTCAGCCACTTGAAGCAGACATGATAAGACATTCAATGTACAAAAAATGTGCTTTGAACTTATAATGTCTAATACCTAAAATAATATCTAAAATACTCTATTAACATAAAATACAAAGATGAAAGTGCATAAATTTAAGATTTAACTCTGCAAGAGAAAAATTATTTATTGTTTTCATACATTCACATTTGTACAATTTGATAAAACTTTTACTTGGCCTATCTGAATAATACAATGTATTATTTAATCATTTCAATATCATGTAGCTTACCAAGCTTGGAAAATTGAAGGTCAAACGCTGCCGCCATGAGATGGTTTATTAACGAAACTGTTTATAAAAACTAAAGGGTTTTTGCTAAATTATAAAATGTATTACACAGATCTTTCAATAGCGGATGTGTCAAAAGGACACGGTATGAAAACAAATTTCGGGAAGTATTTACTTCTGATGGAGAAATTGATGAACTCCTTCTCTATCTAATCTTTTCTCTAAAAAAACTATTTTTATAAAATATCAATAAATAATAATTAAGGCTATATTATGAAGAGTAGTATAGAAAATATAAAAAACACAAATCTGTTTTACAAATAAAACATAAAAAAATAGTACTTACTTACAATATAATATTATCATTCTCACTTAAAGGCTTTACTTCACATAAACCCTTACTACACCTCTGTCACGTTAGATATCCATTACTCCCAAACGTCCAACTATAATACGTATTCTTCTCATTTAAAAAAATGTTATTACTATCGCTCACCTTAATAATCATTTTTCTTGTTTATTTACAGTCGAAGATACATTGTGTGTATCTATTATAGTACACGTTATATATACAACAAAACATTTGAGTATTTAAACGTTATATAATATATTTAGTTGCTAATCAGCAACAAGGTAATTTTTAAATGTTTAATTGTATATCTATACAACTTAGCAGTTCGTAGATTTACACTGTTCAAAACTTAAAATGTTCACATAGCAAACTACCTACAAGTACATGCTATATCAGAACGTTACGATAGGACTTAGTATTAGTGATGGGAATCCGAAAATCCGGATTTTCAAAAAAAACAAAAAAAATGCTATTAAAGCCACTTAAAAATCATAAAAACATTAAATATTATTACAAGATAAAAAAAAAACTAACTGACTATAAAATATAAATTGCTTTCGGATTTTCGGATTTCAACAAATCCGAAATCCAAAAGCAATTTATCTTATTGGTGTTTTGTTTTATTTTTACATTTCAATCATAATATTTTACTCAGGCACATAGCTTTATATTTTAAAATTATTTAAAAGGTACTTATAAGATATTTAAGTTGCTTGAATATCGTTTTTTTTTGTGAAAATCCAGATTTTTGAATTCCCATCACTACTTGGTATATGCAATTTGTCGCTGCAAGTTTACCTACGGGTACGACATATTATATACACATCAGTACAAGCAGATAATACAAGCATGTATGTACTAATTACAGTATACCATCCTATTGGCTATTATAATACACAAACTAACCTACAATGCATAATATAATAAGCATATGTGTATTGAACGTATACAAACTGAAAGTGTTAGGTAACTGTACACGCACTATACACATTGTACATAGTATGTTGTATAGCCTATGGGTAGGTATAACAACCATAGATAAGGTAAACCACATCATAATATTTATACATCGGCTTAACTGTACGGTAATCCGTCTAAAAACAGCAAACACGTGAGTTAAGAATACTAAAATACAATATTCTTTATAATGTTAAATAATATTCGTATTACATGTGACTGTACCACAAAGTGATAACCCCTTTCCTTTCAAAAAATTAATTAGGCTTTTTTGATCAGGAAGCAGTTTATCTTTTTTTATTTTTCAAAAAGCTTTTACTGATTGATTATTTTGTTTTGTATTCGTTAAAATGCATCCACTTTTATAAACCCGGCCTTGAAGAGTACGTTACAGTCAGTGTCAGAAAGTTTGATTATGGATTTTATTTAGATTGGGATAATGTACTTATGTACTGATTGTCTGTATAAACCTAACTTTCTAGAGTAAAAACTTGATTAAATAGATTGCTTTTAACTAGCCCCGTAATGAATTAAGACTAAAAATAACTATTATCTTTTATAAAATCTAATTATGATGACTTTTTTGGAGGGAAACTTCATATCCATTTTGAAAAATGGTTTCTAGAGATAAAGTAATTCCTGTTAAAAAAAAATAAAAAATTTAAAATGTCTCATTCTGTTTTGGTTAAAAAATTATAAAAAAATAGAAAAAATAATAATAATGAAAAATAGACTCTACGGCTAACGCAACTGTCTGATAAAAAATTAACTACTAATTAAGATTCCATTTTACTATACTATAATGATTGCACACAATAGTTTTAGCTTTAATTATTTATTTTTCGAAATGTCCTCACTACACTTGTCCGACCTACACAATGTAAAACTAACTAAAATCACCAACCAATAAAAACCTACCTACAAGTCACTGCAGCTATTATTTGGAGAGGCTTTTTTAAGTTATATTTTGTTTAAAATAGTATATTTCAACAACCGCAAGTCAGATTGCGTCATAGAGTAAAAATATAAGATTGCATAGACACGTAGGTGTCACTTATCAAAAATTTCCATAACCCCTTAAAATATTTTATAGCAACCCTTTCAACTTAAGATATTATAGTTAGATTTTTAAGATTACATTGTCATTAAAAAAATGTTACATCAAATAATTCTTAGAAATTGAAGTAGTTAATCATAAAAATATTACTCTTGCATTTCAGGCTTTCCGTCGTACACACTAGTCACTTCTCTTGTTGTTTGTTGTTCTTGATACGCTTTATTATGGCCAATATCAATTGTCAGTAAAGAATAATTACAACTATTCTAATAATTTGTTTGATTTAATAAAATGTTAAATTTTATAATTTGTCGTCTTTTGAAGAAGACGATGGTCAGAAAAGTTATATTACATAATCAGGGGTAACTATTATCAATTAATTATATTTAATACATTGTTTAAGCTTAAGTCATAAACTAACGTTTACCAATCTATTATTATCTAAGGTCATAATAATGCAATATACACCAATACTTACCAAGAACCATATAAACAGGAAGGCTTTACATCGGAACAGCTGCAAATACTGATCACATGAGAGTCCAAACCAATGGTTATAACCACAAGTACATTAGTTGCCAAGGCAACATATAATGGCAACATTAAAAGTTATCATGAAGTTCAATTAATACTTTTAAATGTGTTTTTCTAGTTATAATATTACATATATTACAACATACATCAGGTTACATTATTTTATGGTTAAATATTTGATTTTGTTTTAATTAATGATAGTGCTAAACCATTAAACACTGTTTCAAACAAATACACATTCTTAAAAGGGGTATGCCTACATCTACGCGTACATGGTATTGAAAAACACCCGATTCCAAAAATAACAAAATCATTTAAAAAAAAAAAAAAAAATCCTATTAGTTATGATCAGAAGTTATAAGAGTAAATCACTGTGCAGATTACTACGATTACAATTTTCAGCTTTCGAAACTGTTATTAAGTTGTATTTAAAATAGCAGTAGTATAATGAACACATTAATAAAATAACCAATAAGCGTTTCAAAATCATGGTTTCATTACACGAACTTGTACAAATTTGAATAATTTAAATGCCATTAAAAATATTTATTTTGCATTTATGAGATACCAATTAGAATATGCATCCCTTATTTGGTCTTCTAATAACATAGGGGTAAATCATAATCTCGAAGCTGTTCAGAATCGTTTTCTTCGTTTTTTAGCTTTTAAATTTGAAGTCGATACACCACGACATTCAGATTATAATGGATTATTATCCTATTTCGATATAAAATCGTTAAATACAAGAAGTAACCTTCATTATTCGTTTTCATTAAAACTATTAAATAACTCTATAGATTGCCCTTATTTACTGAAACGATTAAATTTTTGAATTAATACCAAATCCACCAGAAATCGAGATAGTTTTTTAATCAATAATGTTTCTAAAGCATACTCAAAATCATCACCTACAAATATACTGATGACTATAGGAAACACTATGGATATTAATTTTAGTTAATAATTAATTATGGCTGTAAATTGTATACCACGTAATATGTACTTGTTATATTAATTGAATGAGAATTTTATTTTAATCGTACCAAATTTTATTGTATCTGTATCACTATTCACTACACAATTATATATATATATATATATATATATATTGTTTAGTAAATGGAGTTTTTCGGTTAATAAAGATAATAATAATAATAACTGTGGAATAATTTTACTGTGTTGTTACTCAGCCCATTTTATTTGGACTCTAACGATTTATGTTATTTGTATGACTAAATTAATGTGTTCCAACATAATTTGATTTTCGCAATGTAAACTAATATTTATTCATTTTCAAACAATTTTAAAGATATTTGTATATAAATTACATTTATTTATTTTATTTTACTCTCTTCAGTATTATAAACTTCTGATTTGTAGTCTTATCAAAAGCTGAAGAAAGCAAGTAAACTAAATTCTAAACTTGATGTCTATTTTTTTTTTAAATAATGACAATAACTACAACAATTTCAAGTGAACATATGGCTAATAATTAGAAATTTCTAGTTAGTTTTGTGAATAATATTTATAATCTTGGGTTTATTGGCTCGTTAAGGTCAATAAAAAAAATTAGTGAAAGTGATTAAGAGATATCATACATAACATAGTACAACAAATACAAAACCACCTCAATTTTTGAGGTTGTTTAAAAGTATTGTGGATACAATAAAAAAACAAATGCAATGAATAACTTTTTTTTTAAAGTTCTGTTCCTTGTAATATGGGTTACATATTTTATAAATTTTATAATATACCTAAATTACTATAAAAGTAAACTATTATGTCAATTAAGACATAATTAAACACATAAGTTTAAAAATATTTCACTTAATGAAAACAGTGAAATATGTTAATTAAAATAAAAAACAATCAAATAAAACCTATTGGCTAATAAATATAATATATTCATTTACAAGAAATAAATATATGTCTTATCATTTGTCTAGTATAGGTACAATTTTGCATAGATATAGAAGTTAAACATAGATCTTAAGAAAATTCAGACTACAATTTTTAACCTATTATTCATGGGTTTTGAATAAAATAATAATATAATATTGATACTATTTGTACTTAGTCAATAGACAGAATTTGGCCCTAAACTAACCAAAGTGTGAGACTTAAACAATACAAATAACAATGATAGCATGACATTTAAACTTAAAGATATAAGGAAAACACTCGATTACAATATTTATGAAATACAAATAATATAAACACATAAGTGTTTACTTGTCTGATATTTTGTTTATTACATTGTTATTATTAAAGAAAAACACAACAAACATGACTATCATCTCTTAGGAATTAATTGTCTACTTGTGTAAAAGAAATTTTACTTATGGATTGTTTTTCTCATAAATATTTAAGATTAACAAAGTACCTAGATTATATTTTACAAATTATTAAATTAAATATTTACGAGATCTGTTTGGCACATAGTGCTGAAGATAAAGCCTATAGTTCTTATCCGCTACACACTTCCGAATGATCATCCCAAGCATCAATCTGTAAAAGAATATTTTACATTTTTATTTTGAAAAAAAAATCATCAAAAATTATTTATAAAAAAATGTTGTACTGATTTCGAAAATTTTAAAAGTCTCATTATATTATAAGCTAACGTGTATTTTTATAAATTTCAAAATTTTAATTCTTGGCAATTACTAAACAGGTTCAACTATATAAATGGTAAATGCCCCTGTAAATGCACTGTCGAAAAATAAAATTCTAAAAAAATCAGTTATAATGGAATAACAATTATAAATGTCAGGTTGTGTTAAACTTACTTGACAGTCTTTGCTGCAGTACCATTGGTTACCACATCCAGCACACACAAACTGTGCAGGTTTTTGCATGCACCCTTGACATTGAGGCGCGTTGGACGGGGAACCCACATTCATTGAGTCTTGTCCCTCATCTATGACTAATCTATCAGATGCGTCTTCATCGTCTACTGGTGTAGGCTAATAAAAAGTATTAGAGTTTAATATCACAAAAAGTATTTTAACTAAAAACAATTTAGGTTTATATGGTTCTTTTTAAGTTAATTTTACCTGAATATTTGACGTAACATTTGATTTTTGATGAAAAGTTGAAGACATTGAAGTACTCTGAACCGGGGTAATAGTAATCTCATTACGCGTTTGCTAAAATAAAGATAAATAGAACTTGAAATATGTTTGTAATATATGTATTTTTACTTAAACATAGAACAAATATAAAATAATTGTAGAGCAGAGTTGAGCATTATATTAATACATTTTTATCTAGATAATATAGCAAAAATAAAAAATAATATTTTAATAATTTATTATTTGCTTTTAAAGAACAAAATTAATTGTTATTCATTAGGTATATTATTTTTAATTATTCATTATTTATTCTATCGATAAATTAATTACAAATATATTTTTTTAGTTGGTATTTATTATTTATTAGAATGTCTAATTATTTTAAATAATTTTTGAAATATTGTACTGAGATTTTGTAAAATAAAATTGGCTGGGTACCAATCTATTCCATCATACCTTTGTTGTATGTAATTTATTTTATTTTAAGTCAAATATTGAAACTCTGCTAAAAAAATTTTAGCCGATTTGCAATTTTAACAAATTTGTGGTCATTAACACCCGAGCTCTAGTCATCAATAACGAACACACAAAATCAAGTTTGTTGTTGTGACCACAGAACACCAGACATTAACGCTTCTATAATCTATTATTGTGAAGGGTAAAAATACAGTAAATCATTTATATAAGTTATAATAATATATGTTGTAAAATATATGTAATGGATAATATCAAATCAGCCAGTTCTTTTAGCCAGTTTTACACAATTACACCAGCATATAATGTTGGTATTAAACATTATGCTATGTTGTGCTTAAGAGAACTATATTATTTAAAAACTTGTGAAAACATATATATCTTTTTTAATGTTTGATTATTACCGCATTAGAAGAGACCACTGTAGCTGTAGGTATTTGTCGTTTTCCCCTCATTTGTTTGCAACGCTCTGGAGCCGTAAGCAGTCTTGCTAACGTAGGAGAATAGGTCGTGGGATGACTTGGCAAACTAACAGGTAAGTGATGATTGCCAGTTCCTTTGGTTAAAATGCCTACACAGGAAACATTATATTATTAAATAAATTTAAGTAAAGTAGATTTTAGGTGCAGTATACAAAATAAGCCATTTTAAATAACACATTGACATTCCGTATGAAAAAAGCACGTTTCAAATTGACAATTAAAAACAACACTTCAGTTATTTGTTTGTCAAATCTAAAGTAACGTTTTTCGTTTAGCAAATTAAAAGTGCTGATTTTTTGTAGCGCGAGTCGATATTTTTAGAGGAAAACGATTATTGAATGTTTTATGAAAATATAATTTAATATGGTACATTATGATCCAAAATTTGTATAATATGAAAACTATTAAATAATACTTAAATACTTTATTTATTAAAATTAAATTTTAAGTATAATTAAAATACTGTCTAAAAAAGAATTTTATTTTTCATATGATCATATGTTTAATTATTCGTACAGTCACATTATCACATTTATTATTATAATACATTTTGTGTTGTGAACGACTAAAAACCTTTTTTAAAAACTGTTGCAATGCTTGATTTAATTAAAGAATACAAATTACATTTATTGCAGATATTGCATATTTAATTATATTTATAGTATCTAAATGATATCATATAATTATCATGTAGTTAAAAAAACATTAGGTTATCATAAACAATAATTTACCATGCAAAAGTGATGTGTTTTGTTGCTGTTGCTGTAACTGCAACTGTTGCTGGTGTTGTTGTTGCTGCTGCTGCAATTGCTGCTGTTGTTGAAATTGTTGCATAGGTTGTGAAACTGGATGTAACGTAACTTCTGGAAACGCAGGAACGTCTTTGAATCGATTAATATCAGGAGTGTGCTGCTCCATTATATTGTTAGGGATTCCGTGAATATTTGACGCAACTATACATAAAAAATAATGAATTATTAAACTAATTGTACTTAATAAAATACAAAGGCCTTACGTGGTTTAAAGTTAACATCATTGGGGATATGAATTGAATTAGGGTAACTTAAGGGACTGGGATAACGTAGAGGTGAAGAAGACGTTGGAACAGAAAAATCGTTAGGGACTTTACGACGACCTCTTTTCGGCACAACTGTTTCAGGATTTTTTGACCTGTGATCAGCAATTATTAATTTAACATCTAGAATCGGACCTTGGCGGCCTTCCTTTTGATTATTAGTAGTAGGCTTGGGTAGTATTGGTCTCTGTATACGATTTATACGACTAAGTCTGTCCGCCAAAGTCCAATCATTTGATTGAGAAGAGCTAGGTGACATTAAAGCCACCGACGATATTGTTGGAATGGCAGTAGTAATGGAGCTATTATGATCGTAACTAGTAGACACTAATTTTTCGAGTTGAGGGTCACGACCATCAATAATATCTGTTATACACTGTCAACAGATACATTGGGTTAAGTATACAATTTTAAAACATACTTGTTAAAATTTTTAAATGCAAAATACTACCTTTTCACTTAGCATGTGTTCCGGTTGACTCAAGTTAATTTGAAACATTTCTGGCAAATTCCAATCTTTACTGTTATCTGTTTTAGCAGCATCAATTTCTTTAACTTTAATCATTAGTCTTTCGATAATTTCTTCCTTAAGCTTTTGCAATCTAATAAGGGTTACTAGTTCATCACGTTTATTTTGAGCTATCTCAGTGATCACTTTAATTTCATTTTGTATTTTCTCTATATTCCTGGTTAATTCTACTTCACTCTTTCCACTGGATTGTACAATGTTCTTAATTAACCTTTCTCTGGTATCGTCTTTCAATAAAGAAACATCGTCATCACATCGTAACTTCTTCGTTTTCGGTAAATCATTATCACTACTAGCTCCACTCACAGCACTCAGTTCGTCGTGGCTAGCCGCAGACCTCTTTCGAACTACGACTGGTTCTTCATTCTAAAAATAAAATAATATTCAACATTAACACAATACTAAGCTATAACTTTAGTAAATTGCACTGAATTACTTGTTTGGGTGAAAGTGTCTCCATGCTAACTTCACTGCATATGTCTTCCTCCATAGTAGATTTTTCTTCATCTTCGGGTGGTGCTTTGACAACTTCTAATTTAATACTTTTGTCTTCATCACTAAGTAATGTTTCACCATTTGGTTGACTGGTTTCAACATCACTGAGTTTCACTCTGTCCTCTGTAAGACTTGACTCTCCATTTGTTAATTTTTCGGAGTTTTGTGCATTTTCCGTTTCAGTGATTTCATTTTCTGATTCTTGCTCTTTTTTTATATCCATATTCCTACTAATACTACAGTCTTCAGAATGATGTTCATCTTGATCTACTTCCAATGATTCCACATTACCATCATCTTTTTGAACGACTGAAGTAGTTTTTTCTACTATGTTATCAATATCTGTAATTGAGCCTTTATTAATACTTTCTTTTAATTTGTCTTCTGTTGTTATTTTTTCTTCTAGTTTATCTATTGTTTGGTTTTTTTTATCTGACTTATCATCATCGAGTATACTTTCATTTAGTTTATTCGTTTCAGAGTTGTTTTTTTCAGACTCATTTTCATCTAATATATTTGTTTCTAAATTATTTTTATCTGTTTCTTTTACAGAAATACTTTCATCATTTGGTTTATTGTTATTTGGTTTGTCATTATTTATGTTTAAAGATGAGTTGTCCGATTGATTTTTACCTTCCAACTCTTCTTCAACATTTTCAGTACTATCAGATAGCTCAATTGTTATTTCTTTTAAATTCTCAACTGAATTTCCATTTAGTTGTTTGTGTTCATCTCCATTGGTACTTAACTTGTTTACTGATTCAGATTTACTACTATCCGAATGGTTAACAACATCAACAGACATTTCGCTGCTCGCACATTCATCAGTCGGGATAGGCATTCGGCTTATTTGCATTTCGTCTTCTAGTACCACAAAACTGAAAGAAAAATAAATATCATAATAAACATACATATTAATAAATAACTTTTTACTAAGTTACAATAATTCTTATTTATATATAAATAGATGAGTTCTATTATAATTTATATATTTACATACATAAATCGGACAGACACGCTGTCCTGACCATGCGCTGCCCGGGATTTAGTTTGCTAGGGCTGAATAAAATAATTACAAATAAGAAAGAAAAAATTCAGTATTCCAGAGGCTGTATATTTTATAGCATTAGAATACTCCGTCTCGGCTTTTTTTGAATCTACATATGTACATTACATTATATTGATTATGTCCCCCTCTTACTTAGGGTCCCAGCCCCAGATTCCGTTCCAACAGTGAAAAGCGTCCCCAGAATCGGCTTGTTCCTTTAATCATCACCTACCATTCGCTCGAGTATCGTGGTTACAATGGTTACAAAGTGTTTATTTTGGGTTAGCAACAAAAAATATTTTGTATTTAAAGAACAAAATTCATGTTTGAGGCCACCCTTAGGGATGTAATTTTCGAAAAGTACTATGCCGTTACCTTCGCGGGAGTGTATTCAACAACTTGAATGATAAGCAATTGGCGGGGAGTGTAGATATCATCACTATAGATTAGTTTGAGCTCACTCTGATAAAGGATCAATTTGTAAGATTACATAAAATAATTTAGATAATTTAAAAAAATATATCTACTAACTATTCGCCCCTGCTAAATTCTTAACTTGAACCCTTCTTAATCATATAGCTTTACCGACTATGAATCAATTTATTTAAAAATATAACTTATGTGATACAGACTAATTTTTTTTTTAATTTTCCCTTTTACCTTTAGTTAGTGTGATGCATCCATGGATAATTGCAAAGCTTAAAAAATTATAACATTTTCAATATACTTTATTAATTTCCTTACACACATATCCATTAAAACTGTTATGGAACCCATAATGTGAAATATGTATTTAGTCTCTTTCAAAAACTTAATCAATACAAATACTAATGACATTTAGATACTCCAGAGATAGTGCCAAGCTACAAACCCTACCATTTTGTAGATAAATCTATCACTGTCTACATCCTACAAAGTAATAAAACTAAAGTGTTTGGTTTAGCCGGTCATACCCAAATTGTTAAGATTGGCTAACATGAAAAAAAAAAAGACAAGGCCAGACATGAAACTGAGATCCTTGATGACGATCGACTTGGACAAAAGTACCTAACGATAGAACTCGGTCAGCAGCTATCGGAGCATAACACAACGGGTTGATGTACGTACCTAATTCTGATATCATACTACAAAATGCGTACTGGACGTCTTTTGCAGATGCTGTTGCCAGATAGTGATGGTCCAGTTGGATTTGAACACACACGATTTTACACACACAGACTGCAAGTTGGGCGCACAGTTCGTTTACCTCTGCAGCTGCGGCGTGTCCCAGTGGTGGCAAGGCGGTGTGCGCGGTTTGTGTCCTACTTAGAGAACCACTACTACTTGGTATATACGACTCCGCCGCCGCCGCCTCTGGTCGCTGCTCGTGTCGTCGTCACGGCCAAACACACACAAACACTAGCATACGAAAACGACGCGAAACGCACGCGCTACCATCTAATTTTCACAAGTGAAAAACAATCAAATATTGGATTATAATATTGAGCCCGTCCAGAGTCCAGACCAGCCACTCGCGGTTCCAATTACTCGAGTCGACCGTATACGTCAAGGTCCGTACGCGAAACACGGGAAAATGTGTATACGCACTACGCCGTGTCAGCGGACTCTATTAACCGTACAAGTTGTTTGGCACCGTCTTGGCCTATCAGACACCGCGGTGATACCGCCACACAGATAAGAGCGAGATGGGCAGAGCGTGAGAAAGAGAGCGAGTTCTGTACACGACGGTCGCGATTAAAAATATTGAACAAATTATTATACCGATAAAGACGACACCCTGTAACGGACGACGGGAGCGGACACGACTACAGAAACGTTCTGATTGGTCCGAGGAATCACGAACACCGTACACAGTGACGAAACCGTAGGGACGGGAGCTTCGGCTACGACGGCGATGGCGACGGTGGACGACGTGCGAAACGGCTGCGGCTCAAGGCTACCGGCGTAGCCGCCGCCGGTAGAGACCGCAGGGTAGCTAACCTAACGGACCGTAATTACCGTGCGGAAGGCCCGATATAACCGTACCGTTCGATCGTCATTAGTCGCGTTCTTCGATTAAATTATAGTATTCGCGACGCCGTTTTTACAATATTCATATCGTGATTACTGATTACATATTATAGTATACATTTTGTCAAGTTAACCGTTTATCGTCTCCGCGGATATAGTTTTTTACCGTCATAAAGTGTTGAACCTATTGGCGCGTTCAGGGAGAGTTTGGGTGGGGAAGGATCGACCTTTGCGCGGTGCGCCCACTCGACGCAACGAAAAAAATATTTATGATAGCAGCTTCATATAACGGTAGACGCCATAGCCCATACGGCGACATTAGATAGGTATTGCAGTATTGCACGTATCACCACGTAATGGTGGAGAGGGCACCACCGACCCGTTTATAATTAAATAGATGACAATAATAATAACATGAGGTACAAAAAAATATACGCGAACGACTGGGTATTGTAACGGCACTATAACATTAAAATTTATGCAGAGAAGCTCTTATTTTTATTTTTTTGACGAACCAAGCTAAATGCCATTTGCTAGCGCTGCGCGTGCATGTGTGTGTACATGTATACAGTGTGTGTTTGTTCGAGTGAGTATGGACAAGGGCAAAGCAAGGACATTCGGGTCGTGCGCACATTTTTACCCAACGCGACCGCCGCCTTGTCGAACATGCAGCAGCAGCAGTTAGCTAGCTATTGAGTGGCCTTGGAATCGGTGCGGCGGCTACGATGGTCAAAATAAACACAAACACGCCGTACTGCAGATATGGAGTTAACGTGCACGCACATTTAACAACATTACTTGCAAGTTGCAATCGTTGTGGCTCGTGGTAGGTACCTATCTAAAAGCTATACCCACAAGTCGCAACATCCCGTTGAAAAATAATCAAAGGTGTAGGGACCGAACTTGGGCAATCGTACAAGCATAAGAACGACGAAAACCGAGGGGGCGTGAGGTCACCTTCACTTCTCCCCTCTCCTCGCGGACTGTTGGCTGAATAACGTTTGTCTACTCCTGTCTCCGACGAAATCGCACATCCGCTACAAACGCAAGTTTATTAACCTGCGCCGGAGATACGGGTCATCCTTAAGCTTGTAAATCATTACGGGTCTACTTACAAAACGACTGCATCATTTGCTTTACAAAATTACCTAGTTTAATATGGTACTGCCCATTGGAATTCGGAAAAGTAATGTTTCGATTCTAAATATCTCTATTAGAAAGGTCCATAAAAGTTGATTTATACTGGGCTAGTAAAATTTGATTTCAACCGTGAAATCAAATACATGTATTTAAAGTATTTTTTTGTTTCTATACCAATACCATTATAATATATATTTTTCTGGGTTATACAAAAATTAAGTACTCGATTTGTTTTCTTAACTGTAAAGATGTTAAATGTATCAATATTTTTTTAAAGATCTGCTAAACTTTTAATGAAGACGGTCGTTCAACCTGTCACATTAATTTAAACACAAACGTATAGAAGTAAACGTGAAGTCAAAATCATTCAGTTTTCATATTATCCGCCATGGCTTATTAAAAAACATCACTAAAAGGCATTTTTTTATGAACCTGCGTGCTTAATACCTGGCGAGTGATTGAAAAAGAACTTGTGTTCGAAATAACTATAGGTTTAACACTCATAATTAGTTTAGACTTACATATTAAAATAATTTATTTGAAGAGCCTGAAGCCTGTTTAACTGAACATCATTCTGAACAAAGTTATTCCGACCATCCAAAAGGATACATAATTCGTCCAAAAAATATACAACCAAATAAGGTTTAAGTCAAGTACATGAACCATGTTTGACCACCTGTTCCACATCACCAGATGTGTCTTGGATCCTTTAACCGTTCATCTAAAAGTCCTTCGTATAAATTCTTACGACAGAGCCTTCTCAATCACAATTACGGCTCTAATAATTTGATTAGTAAATTGCATTAATTTACTCAAAGTAAGGTAAATCTGATGATTTTTCCCGAAAGTAATAAGTATAATCAATGCCAGTATTTGAATTTAAACTTTTTATTAGCAATTAATTTTATCGTAAATAATAGTTCAATAGCCTAGAAAATATATAATTACAATTAATTAAGTTTGAATTATAATTTATTCAGGATAAGAATAGGTACTTCCAAGAGACGTTCGAAGCTACATAGGGGTTGCCTAATGACTAGCGCCTCTGGGAAGTATACTACTATTTATTTAGTTATTATTGCAATAAAGTTAATTACTGTAAAATATCGTGTTAAACGTAAGAAAATGGTTTTAAGCATTAAATTGGACAGCTCAGCACTTTATTAACACAACTACCTATTGTTTAGTAAAAACAAATCCTTCTAACATTTATCATACAATATAATATGATTCATATTTCATAACATCGAGTTACTAATAAGTGTAAATATACTTCACTATTTTAAAATAAACCTCTGATGATTGTATTGTGACAGATTTTGAACTTATATTGTAGTGAATGCCATGTTGCCTGTATTTTTACATATTACCATGCTACTAGCATGTTTGAGTCTTTATCTCTATTATTTGCTAGGAGTAAGCATGTATGTATAATTATGTGGAGCTTAAAAGAAGAAAAATATAAGAGTGAATATTTTATTGAAATACGTTATTAACATCCGTTCACAAGTCTTACTGGAATACATATTCAATTTTAATGTGATTTGATGGTTTTAAGGCCTATGTGTTTTGTAAGCCACATGGCTCGTTTCTGTATACATAAAAATATGTCTGATGCACTAAATTAAACATTGTTCTAGTTCAGTAACGTTCGTGTGATGTAATAATTTATAAATAATTAATGAATGTTATTTATTATTTGATATCTTAACCCAATAATTCCATATATATTATATTATAAATACATTACTGCGGGTTTCTAAAAAATATTTTTAAAAAAACCAACTTTATATAATCTAGTAACCCATCTATAGTAATAACAGTTATATGAACAAATAAATAATACATACATTACTTTTTTTAAATTATTATAGAATACTGCTTTTAAAAAACTATGAATACAATTAACATTTACAAATTATACAAATCGAAAAAATATGTTACCTAATATTTGTGCCAGTAGTATACATCAGCTATTACAATGAATTACTTAATTTTTATGTGTTTTATTTCGTACTGAATATTAATTCTATCTAATACATATATATACATACGAGTAGTATATTGATATTAATTATTAAGCAAGTTGAATATATATATATATATATATACATATATTTGAACGACCTTTTTTCTAGTAAGCACATAGTATGATTAACTGACTCTTTTGACTTTTCGTACACGTTATCTAGCTTTTTATTTAACTCATATTCCTCGGAAAAAAATTCTTTAATTCACTACTGTGAAAACATGTATTGGAGACACGTATCCAAAGTGATGGCTTTATGAAACATTAGGTATCAATATCTTGTGTTATTTTTACTGCATGTTTTCCATACAAAAACTAATTCCGCAGTGTTCGGCTAAAAAGTTTTAAGTTCAAAACTAATAATAGACATACAACTTATTATACTCATTATACGCCCAAAAAGAAGATTTTTCTATACTTTACGTACATTTATCCTCATTTAAGCAATTGTTGGACTTATTATCTTTTACCTGAGCATTACAGAATAAACTATGCACTGAAAATGTCGGGTGGGTACAGCGAGTGGAAAACAAAAACATATTCTGCGTGACAGATATTGCAGTCTATATATGCATAGGTTATGGCTAGTGTTTTACGTACTGCTGAAAACGACCATTCGTCGTCCGATTGGTTGATAATTCCAAGGTGCCAAAGTCAAAAGGTTCTGTGGCCGTACTGCAATGCCGTGTGGCGCGTAAAATGCTATACAGAAAATTTACTAGCGCGGAAACGACTCGTGATTGTGAAATGCCAAAAGACGACGCTTTGGGCACGGCCTTCGTCGTTTGACCTCGAAAATGATTATTTTTGCTTTACCCATCGCAAACACGCTGTCGTTCGGTGTACTTGTGCGATGAATCTTTTAATATTTTTTTATTGTCATTATTATTCAGTTAAAACGCATTTGAAGCGGCGTCAATCGAAATAGTTCGACTTGAAATGCCAAAGAATGCCGAGGAAACTTTTAAAGTAACAGTTTGTCAACAAAATTGTAGACTTGAAAAAATATTTAATCGAAATCCATTATTTGTCTTTTTATTATGCAAAAAAAACTTTCAGATACCCTCTTAAAACAATAGTATTACTAAAATAACGTATACCTGCGTATTTAATGAGTAAACGGTTTTACACTGAACCAAGTATTCAAATTAAATGTCAACTAATCGAACAAAATCAACGAGTTAAAAACCAAAATGTAATTTTTTGTTTAACTTACAAATATATCATAGGAATCTCATGAGCACTAGCTACTGTCGTCGACCAGAAAACAATTTTTACATAACATATTATGTGCTATATATAGTCCATAAGACTATTAAACAGATAAGTTCGTATTATCATCCTATGCAATGGCATTTATGCTATCGCTAAAAGATAAAATTCTTCGCTACTTATACACATATCATTTGTTATTCTTGTTCATCCACAACAAAGTACACACACGTTTGGAATTTAAAGAAGCTTTTAAATCTGAATCGAATTGAAAAATTAATAAAATATATTATTTAATTATACAATGTTAATATTAAATCGCAGTGTTTGGCTGCATTGCCATTTTGGAATACGAATAAGATGGCTTAATTTATTGAACCCATAATGGATATAATTGGTCTAAGTGTTACGTTTGACCCACGCACCAACAAAGTTTGAGTAATTTATTGAAATTATTAAAATATTATTCGCCCTTATTCAATGTCGTTATCCAAAAAAAAATAATTGAAACCTACTATTAATAAGGGTCAAAACT